ATAATTAATGATTGATAACATCTGAAATAAAGAGCGGACCCATTCTAGCTCCTGACAGGCCCTTTGGGGAAATGTGATGTTAGTAGTGACTGAAACCGTTTAAGTCGAAAATGACTGCTGGACACAGGATGGAGCGGCTTTCGGCTCAATTCATGTGTCTACACTGCCATTTTGAAGATGGACATGCGGGAGGGACTCTTTCTTCGCAACGCCCTCGCTCTTTGATGTATATAGGCCTGTAGGCCAACATGTTCATACGGGGCATTTTTGTACTCAGCATCTGAATTCCTCAATCTACCACAAAATGGATGCTGCTCAGATGCCTCCATATATTACCGGATCTGTAAACATTGTATCAGATGGATTGAAATCAGGGCAGCTCTTAGTATTCTATCTATATAGCTATTACAAACAATGAGAACGAATGTAGCTTACATTTTACAATTACTACAGTTTAGTAATTTAGCAGACGCTCTTATCCAGAGCGACTTACAGTTAGTGAGTGCATACATTTTTCAAACTGGCCCCCCGTGGGAATCGAACCCACAACCCTGGCGATGCAAGCGCCATGCTCTACCAACTGAGCTACAGGAGGCTACCAGGGACTTATTTAACTTATACTAGATTACTATTAGTTATTTGATGTCTGATTAATTGTGACATGCTCCTCACAAAGCATAATCGGCTCTGTTATTTTGAATGATCTGTATCAAATTAATATAATATTGTATCAATCTGTAGGCCTGTCAATTGAACAGAAATTGTATCGATAATGTGTCAGCACCAGTCCTTTTACAGTAGCCTGCAGGGCTATTTCACTACAAGACATTGAGGTTATTACATTTGTGGCTTAGTTGAACTCCATGTGTGAGGATCATGCTTATGGCCGATAACTACATTTTGTGACAGGGGAACGTATGATGCTTACAGCATATATTACATCTGTGCAGGCCCGGGTTGCATCACTTGTGGTTTGTTCAATACCCAGACGCTTTCGGGGTGTCCTTGAACTGTTGCTCGGCTCTCACATACACATGGGTTTCATATGGTTTCATCGCCGGTGACGTTGAGCGCAGCCCTCTGTGATCCAACAAAAGGCACACTGTAACACTGTAAAGCAGGCACTCTGCACATGACAGCTCTGACATGTACAATAAATATGTATTTCTCTACGGCTGTATGTGAAATGATAGATGTGATTTAGAGAGCGCTTTCTTAATCCTGTGCCCAGGCTGGCCTGTGGCTGTGGGCCTTGCGTCCACACACACACACACCCGTCCTTCTGTAACCCTGCTGAAAAACAAAGGACTTCATCACACACACTATCTGGCACCGCACACACACACACCCGGCTGTGTATGACTCTGTCTGTGTATGTATGTAATAACCCTAATTGCTCCTGTAAGTCGCTCTGGATAAGAGTGTCTGATAAATGACTCAAATGCTAATGTTGATGTGTATGCGTCTAGAACTCCACAGACACTCACCCACTCACACTCCACTGTAGACATACACAGTACACACTCCAACACACACAGTCAGACAGACACAGACACACTCCCCCTATCAGATTCACATCTGGGACAATAGACAGTCGTCTAAATCGTCTCCACACAATGAATCCAACCAGACCAGTACACATTTAGCATTGAGTCTGGCACCGCACACCTGACTGTGTATAGCTCTGTGTACTGTGTGTATGCGTCTAGCACTTCACAGACACACACACACACACACACACAGACACACACATACACACACGGATTATCTGCTTATCAGAGTCAATGTTGATGCATCAGTCCCACAGTGCTATGTGCTCTGCCTGTTTATTTGACCAAAGTCTTAGAACATCAGGGCTTGGTTTGTTAAGGAGTAGTGGTAGGCCCATTCCAGGTGCCACTCAATCACTTGGTGCATGTGTGAATTTTATTTTCCACTGTATATTTCAGGATTGTTTTTCCTGTCCTTAGGACTATAGTGGTTCGGTGTAATATGTAGAATACTTTTTTTAAGAACTCTCTTTTTTTCACAGCAATTTTTCTATATATTTTTTCTATTATATGGTTGTCCATATACTGTGGCATGTCAACCAGCCACTATAGTGACACATGTGCTCTTAAAATGCTCTTAATACATGATTCATAGGCCTACTCAAATGCTGAGAGCCTTGCCTTTGCGTTTTATTTATCCCAGATTGAATGTGGTTGCATTACAAAGTCCCTTTTTGATTTGCCCTATTTAAACAGGTTTTAGAGATCAGACCCCTGATATATAAAGATGCCGGCAGAGAGCGGCTCCCATTGTACATGCCTGTCTCTGCTGTCCACGGGTCCACCATTTACCGCTGTGATTGACACCATCTATTCAGATAGTAAGTGGTGCCTTCATACCTCTTTCGCGGCTTTTAATTTCAAATGGCCGTTTCGTTTTTAGCAATCCTTTTGACTCCCTCCTTTGACTGCCACTTGGAAGTTGAAATGTATAAAAAGAGAGAAAATAATAACGGCATATGCCCGTTTTTTTCTTGCTTTGAATTACAGTGACTGCAAAGCAGAGCCTAAAGTGCAAGCGCCTTTTCATAACGCATAAAAGGCTGAAATGTTTACATATCAAAAGGCTACAGGCCAATTTCTGTCAAAATGATACATGAAGTTAAGCAGTAGGCTAGGCCTACAAGCAATTCATTTAAACCCTAGTCATTGGAGAAAAATTCAAGACCCCTGGTCTTTTTGCATTTTCTTTCACGTAAAATAAGTTAGGCTACATTTTAACAAGCCATTACAATGGCTGCAATACATAATTTACTATGTAGCCTAAAGGCGCTTAAAAATGTGAAAATAACCATTCTACAGTCAATGGAACCATCTTTGTCAATGATGTTACATCTTATTTATACACATAGCCTACATGCAAGTTATTTATTCGACAAAAGCCAATTCTTACCTCGGAATGATAGTCCGAAGCTCATACCATTAAAATAAGATATTTAAGAGGGATAATTTAACTTCCGTTCCTCTGAAAACGTTGACGTCAAAAATAATTGTGCCCTTATATGGAAATATACTTTTTAGATGTTTTGTTTTCCAGAATTGTTTTGTGATACATTTTTCATGGAACAATGTGATCAATAATTGATATTTTTCGTATTGTTATCTTCTATTGAATGCTTAGGCAGGAAAACCATGCCATAATCGTCTTGTTCGCATACAATAAAAGTTGTAATTCTTCTTAAGTGTGATGCCTAAAAGCATATGTCCATGAAGTAATATTGGTCGGCATATGTCCATTAAGTAATATTAGTCTGCACATTTTAAGACTGTGCCTCTTTCAACTCCAATCAACCTAAAACACAATTTGTGCGTGTACATAACACAATTTGTGCAATAGCATTAACATCCGGTATCACTATATATATTTCAGAATTGTTCATCAATTAGGCTAATTGATATGAGAAAATCAAAATAAAGGGCCTATGGCTGTTTTTAACCTGAAATGTAAATTATACTTATGTTTAGGGTTTTGCATTTATTTTATTGTTTTATATTTTGTAAAAATCTAATTAGTAGGCATATTGCTAAAACTGATTTATATGAAGTCTTACAAATTCCATCAAATCTAATGAACAATACAATACACTGAACTTACCAAAATAAGGATTTTATGTGATATTCAATTTAACTTAAATGATTTTAGCATTGTCTACATATAGGCGTAATTGTCTGTACAATGTTCATAATTATATTTATATTCTTGGTAAATCTTGTTCGCACCACTCCTAACTCCTAATTCTATCAACAACCAAAAAAAGCACTGATAGTTTGAATGCAATCAATGAATGTAAAACCCATAACGCGTGAGTTTTATTACCCAAGTGGGTAACCCAGGGACTCAGAATACACGTTCCCACCTCCTCAGTCCATTCTCGCTAAATTAAATATGCGCTCTGAAGTAACATTCGCCTCATTTTCCACCCACGCATTTAATTTGATTAGGCGTGTAATTGTAAAAGTTTTCTCTAACGCTGAGAATAGAAGCGATAATGGCCGTTATCTTATCACAGCGAGAGTAATATGTTCAGTGAACGAGTACTTAGCGGAGGTGTTTAAAGTTAATACGCACGATTTCCTACCCATCGAGATAGCCCCGCTGATGGGGTAAACAGAGATACTCTCCTCACGACCATCTCCTGGGGTGAGCTCTGTGATGGTCGTGTCAGACCGACTGTTTCCCAAATAACATGCAGCAACACAGACTGAGATCCGGAGCCTCATATCATGGTATATATTTGATTAAATGTTACAGGCCTATATATTTTGTATTTATTCATTGTGTGTGTGTAGAATGGGAGGGGGGATCTATATTATGGTGTTATTTGGAAGGGGGGGGGGGGGGGGGGTATTTTGGGCTTTGGTGAGAGAAAATGTAAACCATTTACATTAACATTTACATTTACGTCATTTAGCAGACGCTCTTATCCAGAGCGACTTACAACCCTTGAGACGTCTTGATGTTATCAAACTTGGGCCTGTTAATAAGATGAAAAATATTATTAGAGTCACACACACACACATACACACACAGTTTCACAAACGGATGTAGTCTAGATAAAACGTTACAGCTGCATTGATTAGTAGCCTATAGATAGATTTGACAGGAAGCAGTATCTGATTCTTCAATAACGTTAATGATTTCACAGGGAATTTGTTTACCAATCCTTTTGCTGACAATGAAATTAACCTGATTAGCTTACCTTGTAGCCTACAATTAGCCCTCACGGCTGACATAGCACTGAGTTGGGTGGTTTGTTTCAAAAATCTGCAAATAGTACGGATTGACTTAATTGAATTAATTCTCAATACACAGATCTGTGCCTTTCACACCGTTGTGTGGTAAACCTAAAACCAGCCAATCTCTGCTCTCTGTTTGTCATCCGCTCCTCCAGCACAGGCTCAACTGGTCGGTGACGTCAGCCGAGCATATAACCGGGCTGGAGTTCAAGTGGACCACGAAAACAAGTTAGTGAAGCCTCAGTCTGAACGCACCCACCGGAGTCGGTCCAACACGAGAGAAACACGCCAAAGTCAACAAACTCGATGTTATGACACAGATTTAGGAACTTTTTACGGACTTTCTCCTGACATACACCGAATTTAGGACTTTTAAAAACGACGCGCTTTATCTCGCTTTTCACGTATCGGTGATGCCCGCTGGTATGTTCAGTATCGACAGTATCCTGGCCGGGAGACCCACTTGCAAGGACTCGGTGCTCCTCCATCGGAATCCCCCAGTGGTGTTCTCGAACCTCACGGATTCCATCTACACCGCTACCGATTATAATGGACTCTACTCGCACGCAACTGGACCTTCTCCCCCGGGCATCCAGGCGGTGAACGGGACTAGAATAGGATATAATAACTATTATTACGGACAACTGCATGTGCAGGGCCCCAATGGCCCTGCGTGCTGCAGCGCTATCCCAACCCTCGGCTCGCAACAGTGCCCGTGTATTCCAACAGGTAGATTGCCCTTCTTAAAAGTTAAAAACTCTGCATGTTCCTTTGGTGATGGAAAATATAACGTTGCCTGTAATAATATAATAATAATAATATAATAATATAATATGCCATTTAGCAGACGCTTTTATCCAAAGCGACTTACAGTCATGCGTGCATACATTTTTGTGTATGGGTGGTCCCGGGGATCGAACCCACTACCTTGGCGTTTCAAGCGCCGTGCTCTACCAGCTGAGCTACAGTAATGACACTTAAAAGTTAAAACGTTAGGTTTATAGGGGATGGTAGATATACTGTAAATTGGTTGGTGTGTTAACTTATGAATGCGCCCATTGCACAAAATTACAAAAACAGTCATTTTGGTACCTACTGTATATAGCCTATCTAAGAAGCCTATCTGTTGGATAGCCTACTCTAATTCAGTTGAACTTTTACGCATTAACTAAAACTTTGTGTAGATGGGAACATGGGATGCGTAGGCTATATCATACATGTGTAAAAGTGTTGTTTTTGGTTTGTGCTGAGTTTTTTTTCGTTTGGTTAATTTGTGATTTTGTCTGTAGGCCTATTGGGTGTGGTGCGAAATTAATTGCCTAATTTCCTAATGTAATCTTTGTTTATTTCTCCATGCAGGTTATGACAGCACAGGCTCCGTGCTCATCTCTCCCGTCCCGCACCAGATGATGTCCTATATGAACGTGGGCACCTTGTCTCGGACCGAGCTCCAGCTCCTGAACCAGCTCCACTGCCGACGTAAGCGGAGACACCGAACCATCTTCACCGACGAGCAGCTCGAGGCCCTGGAAAACCTTTTTCAGGAGACCAAGTACCCTGACGTCAGCACACGGGAACAGCTCGCGCGGAAAGTGCACCTACGGGAGGAGAAGGTCGAGGTGAGTGCATGCACGGGCCAGTGTTGCTGGCTGTCCATCCCCCCATATACATTAGGCTGCGTTAATTTTCAGAATATATGTGAAGGATCTCTCCACATTTTAAGAAAAAAATATAGGTATCAATACAGAACGTTCGTTTCACATTGTAACAAATTACACTCATAGGCCTACGTGAAAGGACACATTCTATCCAAGCGTTATACGCACATAGTAATAGCGATTGTTCTCGTCTTTCTAGTGCCAAAAATATATTCGATTAAGCCCAAATTACGTTACAATTACTTTACAACACGGTCTAACAAATATTTCATACAAATTACAAATATTGTATCTTCTATTTTCGCATAGGTGTGGTTCAAAAACAGACGAGCGAAATGGAGAAGGCAGAAAAGGTCGTCCTCGGAAGAATCTGAAAACTCACAGAAATGGAACAAATCGACGAAAATAGCCACAGAAAAAACCGAGGAAAGCAAAAGTGACGTGGATTCTGACAGCTGATATTGGTCTAACACACAAAAAAGAGAAAAGACCGTTGGTTGCATATATGCGCAAATCTTGCAGATATACACCAATACATACAAGATTTTGACTTTTTGTACATAGTGTAAATGTCATGTGGACTGAAGTAATGAAATGTGTTGCCATGATGTTGCACAGTTGTATAGTAAATATTACTTTTATTATTGCTATGGGGTAGGCTATTTATATTTAATTTAAAGTTTAATGTTATGCATACCATCCCGAAGATGTGGTGTGCCAGGAGCCTGGACCAATTTTCTGGTGTGTCTCAATACTTCGCGATCTGACATGACATCTCATATTGATATTACTAAATGTTATAAATCTGATATTGTTTTATTGTACTTGAGTGGTGTATTCATCATCACGATATACTGCAAAGAATATTCTGAAACTACACCAATGGGAGAATATATTTTAGAGCTTACTAGACGGGGGCAACCTTTATAAGATAAATGGACAGTAGTATATTTGTCAACTCTTTACTATACCTACAGACGTGTTTGGGGATTTGACTGAAACGTTTTGTCTATATGTTGCAATTAACGATAATTACAGTAAGAATGAATATACATTAAATCATATCTGAATCATCTCTATTTCGTTTGTCTCCTTTCAACTAATGTATTTTTCTATTTATAATAATATTATCTAGTCATTTTGGAAATGAATATACTATATATTTACATTAGGCTAATGTGGGTTGTTTTCCAGACGCAAGTCAATTGAAAAAAGACGCACCGCAAAAGACACGCTTTTGCTTGGAAATAATACTTGCATAGTAGTGGCTTATTTCAGGAAATAAGTCCTAAATGGTGCAGTTGATATGGAGCTTCTAGTCTTCTTATAACATTTTCTAGAATGCGTCGTATTGGTAGAATACAAATTCAATTATTTTCGATTCATGCGCACAAAGGAAACCTTGGATGCGGCAAAATAGATACTGAGGAAATATATATTTTTGATTACTAAAACTGTTCACGAGCTGTTTTTGTCCCCTTTAATTAAATGAATCAAAAATGATTATCAAAAGCACAAATTATTTCGTTTACAACAGCAAAGATGAATCTATCACCAACATACTCAAAACAACAGGTGTATCATTAAAACATATTCACCTCAGATGAGATTAAATATCCTATATAACTCACTAAAAGTAAATGATCAACCGTTTTAGACAACATAATGTACAAATGATGGGTCATCTTCTCAAGTAATGTTTTCTCACACAGAATAAGGGAGATCCATTGCAATACAGAACCATTGTAATACACACCAGCGGTAGCTCATAAGACCAGTCATGTGGGAGGGCTGGTAATTCAAAGTGATTACATACCTGATTCAAATAGATTTACATATTGCATGATAGTGATAGTCAAAGCTTATCAGTATGTCTATGTCCTACACAGTTTATAACATGTATCTTATTTCCCCCATGTCTACACCAGCCCTAATATCTAACAGTGTCAACTAGTGAACATGGAAAGGCATTGCATTGTTACATTGTTACATGGTGCTACTCACTCATTTTACTTTTTGGTATATTACCAAATACCAATTATTTTTGGTGCATTACCATTGGTGTACTTCCTAATTGTGTTATAGTATATCTATATATCCCTAGTGTTCAAAAGTGGAGTGTCTATTTCCATAGGCCTACAATAAAACATTGGAAAAACTGAACAGAAATGCATTTCCAGTTTACATTTCAATTCCATACTTAACAGCAATGCTAGGTAATGGAATTTTGATTTAGAGATATATATTTTCTATCTTCTAAGGTCAAATCACCCTTCACAAAAAATCAACATCACTTGACTTTTAAAATGGTTTACATTTGTATGATTTCTATGAGCTCATACAGCAAGAAGGTAAAACACTATAACGAGCTGCTTCAAAGCTCATATATTGGTAACTCTTTACTGTAGCCCCCTAATGCTAAGACATTGTAATATTTGTATAGGCAGTTTAGAGGCTGCTGCTGCCTATGGAAATCACTGGCCACTTTAAGAAATGGAACACTAGTCACTTTAATAATGTTTACATATCTTGCATTATTCATCTCATATGTCTATACTGTATTCTATAATATTCTACTGTATCTTAGTCCATGCCGCTCTGTCATTGCTTGTCCATATATGTATATATTCTTAATTCCGTTCCTTACTTAGATTTGTGTGTATTGGGTATATGTTGTGAAATTGTTAGATATTACTTGTTAGATATTACTGCACTGTCGGAGCTAGAAGCGCAAGCATTTCGCTACACCCGCAATAACATCTGCTAAACACGTGTATGTGACAAATAAAATTAGATTTGATTTGATTTGATTTTGTCCTTTCCATACACTCTTACAGATGCCATATCTTAACTTGATCATCCTGTTGTTGCAGGAATTTCCTTCATGGCAGGAAATGCAAACGTTTTTCTAGTGTATTCAAGGTTTAAAAAGACTTCTAAGGTTTGTCATTTCCACTTTCAAAATTCAGACTTGATTTGCCATAACGAAAAATGTATCAACATCTACAAAAAATGTCCATTCATTATAATCCACATAATAATTCACATATCCTGTTGCTGCATTATTATTTTCCTGCTGTAGCAACCTGGCTCAAATTAAGATCCCACATCTGTAGAAAAAAAGGTGCTATCTAGTACCTAAAAGGGTTCTTCGGCTGTCCCCATAGGAGAACCCTTTAAATAACCCTTTTTGGTTCCAGGTAGGGTGTCGAGCTGATCTGTGCGTGTTGGTAGACGCAAATAATGTGTAGGCCTACGGCAGCTACGGCTGCATTTCGGATACGCTTGTATGTTGTAGTGGGGCACATATCTTTCTTGTGTTATTATATAAAACACCGGTTGTTGATGTGTACGGCTACATTTCAGATACATTTTTGTACATTTGAACAGCAGTAGGACCAATCTATCTTGTTTTAATAGGGCTCAAAAGCAATTCTAGTTGTGATCCCCCCACTATGGATTTAAAATACCCCCTCAGGCATGTCATCCTAGAGCCGGGCCTGCGTAGAACCCTTTTGGTTCCAGATAGAACCCTATTGGGTTCCATGTAGAACCCTTTCCCCAGTGTTTTCTACATGGAACCCAAATAAGTTCTACCTGTAACCAAATTTTTTTATTTTTTCTAAGAGTGTTGATCACACTGTGTGTCCCTACTCCTTACCAAACCCCAGACCCACACACGTTCATGCCACACAAATCAAATATATTATCCTCTGTCATTACCTCATGGAAATGACACCATATAAAATCATGATATATACACAGACAGACCCTCCACAATCCTCCATTTTACCCATGTGCTGGTTTGGCATAGCAGGTACTGACATTGATTTATATTGAAATGCATTGATTTCTTTTTAAAGGGGCAAGCTGGGATTTGATATGAGGGTAATGTAAACAGGTTCCCATGCTGTGTGCCCTGCGTCTACACCAGGCTGTTTTGCATCTCAGTTTGTAGATCAGGTATTAGAAGGTAATAGAAGATACATAGACACAATATAGGAATATTATTTGGACTAAAGATGACAGATATGGATTTTTTATCAGTGTAGATTGAAAGTACAGTATATATCAGAGTGCAGTGAAAGTACCTATCAAGTTTTGATACTGTCATTTAAAATCAGTGTAGATGGCAACTGTGTCTCGATCGTTGAGAGACGGGTCGGCCCAAGGTGCAGCGTGAAAAGCGTACATGTTTATTAACTCAATAAACATAAAACAAAACAAGAAACAACGTAACGTGAAGTCCTCAGGCTATACACATACAAGCCTAAACGGAACAAGATCCCACAACTAAGGTAGGCAACCAGGCTACCTAAGTATGATCCCCAATCAGAGACAACGAGCGACAGCTGTCTCTGATTGGGAATCACACCCGGCCAAACATAGAAATACAACCTAGATCTATCACATAGAAATACACTAACATAGATATCAACAGAAAACTCACACCCTGACCCAACCAACGAGAGTTCTCTCGATCAGGGCGTGACAAACTGGTACACATAACATTTCTCTATACTTTGGAAGAACAGTGTGATAGCAATAAATATGCAGGGATTGTATTGGAGAGTTTAGATTTTATTTTGCGCCATCATCTAATATGTGGAATCCTTTGAATGATTCTGAACACATTTTAATCCCTAGATAGAAATATGGAAATTCCTAAAGTTAATGGTTCTACATTATGTGAACATTTTATTAGTCCTTTGGGATAACTATAATAACTTAAGCAATGTCTACAATAACGATTGTATCTTTATGATTGTAATGATTGTCATTAGCTTCAGTACTTTAGTGCTATATAATCTAAGACTATCATCAAGTAACATTTCCTGCATTTACTATATGAATCCTTAAACGAATCATTATGTTTTAAGTCTAATTTGAATAATTCAAACTAGGGCATAATTATTCTACACAAATTTCCACGTGATCAGTTTGATTTTCCAACCCACCAAATTTTCCAAGATAGATACCAAAGAGATCCTATAATTCTGTTATATTTAAGTTATATTTAATTCTGTGATAGGGAATATCTGGTTGAGTATTTCCAGAGATAGATTTAATATGGGGAAATAATAATGCAGGACTCCTAAAGTGACTGTTTAAAACAGATTACAGGAGGTCCAGAGCAGGTACTTAAAGATTTGGCCATAATACAGACCATGAAACACAACACATATTCCTAATAATCCCTTATACAGTATGTCCAGCTGTGATTTATAAAGTGTTGCAGCGCAGGGCGCCAGTGAAATAAACAAAGCACAGGGCCAGCCACAGTCATTAATCAATGCTTTTTTTCATGGGCAGTAATTTTCTATTTCACAAATTGAATGCAACTTTTTTTTGTGAAACTATAATTTTTTGGACCTCTTTTATGCATCGTTCCCGGCACTTGCAAAAATATAGGTGGAGTCCAAGAAAAATTAGGTATTGAGTTAAATCTCAGAGAAGATAAATCTTTGCTCCTTTGCAAGCGTTTAGAGAAACCCTCTTTCTTTATTTTCTATTTTTCCCCCAAAAGTGTTGCTATGTTTTGAAGTGAGAGCTAGGCTTTCCGGCTCTTTGGTACAGCCGTTCTGTGGGCAAGTTTCTCTTACATAAGCCTTTCTCTCTACCCTGTAATGTTGAAAGCTGATGTATATACTCTCCGTATCATACTGTATCAGCCCTGAGGGCCCCAGCTCTTTGAATAATGTTATTAGTACATGGGGTCTGAAGAGTCATAGTGCTGGGTGATTTGGCCTCTGGACTGACAGCTCTTGGGTGGATTCCCTGGTCTAAAGATAGACAAGGGTGTTAGCCTGCTTTGTGGTCCACTTCCAGAGACATGTACATGTACTGTAAAATGGCCTCCTCATGGCAGGCAGGACCTCCGAATGAAAGTTAAGACAAATAATGCATATTTTTACAAATGTAAACTTTCTGCTATATTATTACCATATTTCACTGGGATGACGTGTGGTTTGGTGTTTGTTTTTGTTTTGTGCTGGACTCTCTCTCTCTCTCTCTCTCTCTCTCTCTCTCTCTCTCTCTCTCTCCTCTCTCTCTCTCTCTCTCTCGCTCCCTCCCCCCTCTCCCTCTCTCAGCCGGCTGAAAAGTCCAGTTCCTTTCAGAATCAGAACCGCTGTTGCCTTACGGTTAGATTAGGGCCGAGTGTACACACACACACACACACACACACACACACACACACACACACACACACACACACACACACACACACACACACACACACACACACACACACACACACACACACACACACACACACACACACACACACACACACACACACACACACACACACACACACACACACACACACACACACACACACATTCTCTATTCTCCCGATGCCACCACTGGAGA